AAAAAAAAAAAAAGAAAAGAAAAAACAAGAGATAAGAAGACCAAAGGAAGACCTCACTTTATTCTATGTGTATAAAGGGCATATGGTAGAGCAGCAACTGTTCTGTCCCCAGAGCAAGAAGAACCTAACACACTACCATATAAAGAGATTTCTTTCTATTATAGATAATTCTGAAAATGAGTACTATTAAAATTCTATAATAGTTTAGAAGAGGATGGGGTGGCTGGGTGGCTCAGTCAGTTGAACGGCTGACTCTTGGTTTTGGCTCAGGTCATGATCTCAGAGTCCTGGGATCGAGCCCTACATCCAGCTCCACGCTCAGCGGGGAGTCTGCTCCCTCTCCCTCTGCCCCTCCCACTTGCTCTCTCTCTTAAAATAAATAAATCTTTGGGGTGCCTGGGTGGCTCAGTCGGTTGGGCGTCTGCCTTTGGCTCAGGTCATGAACCTGGGGTCCTGGGATCGAGCCCCGCACTGGGCTCTCACTCTGCGGGGACCCTGCTTCTCTCTCTCTCCCATGAATAAATAAATAAAATCTTTAAAGAATATATTAAAAAATAAATAAATCTTTAAAAAATAGTTTAGAAGAGGAATTTTCATATCATATAATCTTTTAATCTGAAGACAACATCTGGAGTAATTTAGGTATTGCCTAGAAAATTATTTGTAGTGTTCCTTCCAGCTCATTCTTTCAGTTCAGATTCTCTGATCATTTTCAAAGGTATCTATAAGAACAAGTTTCAAATAATAATTCTATCACCCTGTCACAAAACACAAGTATATCTGTCAAGCACATTGTTTCAACTCAAAGTAGACTTAGAGAGGGAAGAAGAACCTTATGCACGGCACCAAAGGAAAAAAAATAAGAAAAAAAAGAATTAGGCCTTCAGATACTATTTAATACAAGAAAACTAACTAGGAGTACCTGGCTGCCTCAGTTGGTGGAGCATGAGACTCCTGATCTTGGGGTTGTAAGTCTGAGCCCCATGTTGGGTATAAAGATTACTTAAAAATAAAATATAAAAAGAAAATAAATGAAACTGTATTGGTATATTCATTTTTTTAAAAAAAATCCCTTTGGGAACAGAATAAAGAGCCCAAAATAAACCTATGCATATACAGGAAACCAAGCTATGACAAAGGAGTAAAGAAAAAAAGAGGAGTAAAGAATATACCCAGGCGCCCCCTGTTACATTTGTTTTTTAATGGGAAATCTAAAAACCAGGGCACCTGGGTGGCTCAGTTAGTTAAGCATCTGCCTTCGGCTCAGGTCGTGATCCCGGGGTCCTGGGATTGAGCCCCACATCGGGCTCCTTGCTCAGCAGGGAGCTGCTTCTCCCTCTCCCTCTGCCTGTAGCTCCCCCTCCTTGTGCTCTCTTTCTCGTTATCTCTATCTCTCTGTCAAATAAATAAAGTCTTTAAAAAAAAAACAAAAAACAAAGGTAATGGGGCACATGGATGCCTCAGTCAGTTAAGCATCCGACTCTTGATTTTGGCTCAGGTCATGATCTCAGAGTCGTGAGACGGAGTCCGCTTCGAGCTCCGCGCTGAATGTGAATCCTACTTAAGATTCTCTCTCTTCCTCTGCAGCCCCCCACCTCCCCTTGCGCACCATGCTCTCTCTCTCTCAAAAAAAAAAAAGGCAGAGGATCTGAATAGACATTTTCCAAAGACATATAAATGGGTAACCACTATATGAAAAAATGTTCAATATCACTAATCATCAGGGAAATGTAAATCAAAATGAAAAAGAGATAATAACTCACCTGTTAGAATGGCCATTCTCGAAAAGACAAGAAATAACAAGTGTTGGTGAAGATGCGGAGGAAAGGGAACCCTTGCACACTGTAGGTGGGAATGTAAATTGGTATAGCAGCTATGGAAAACTGTATGGAGGTTCCTTAAAAATGAAAAATATAACTACTGGGGCACCTGGGTGGCTCAGTCGATTGAGCGGCTGCCTTCAGCTCAGGTCATGATCCCAGGGTCCTGGGATCGAGCCCCACATTGGGCTCCCTGCTCAGCGGAGAGCCTGCTTCTCCCTCTCCCTCTCCCTCTGCCTGCCTCTCTGCTTGCTTGTACTCTCTCTCTCTCTGTCAAATAAATAAAATCTTTAAAAAATATATATAACTACCATATGATCCAGCAATTCCACCTCTGGGTATTTACCCAAAGAAAACAAAAACACTAACTTGAAGATGTATGCACTCCCATGTTCACTGCAACATTATTTACAATAGCCAAGATATGGAAACAACCCAAGTGTCTATGGAGGGATGAAGAGATGAAGAAAATGTAGTATAGGAGAGGGTATCAACATGGTGGAGTAGGAAAATCCTGAGCTCATCTCCTTCCATAGATATACCAAAATCTACAACTACATATAGAACAACTATCTCTGAGAATGAACTGAAGAGTAGCAGAACAGATCATATGTAACTAAGGATATAAAGAAAAAGCCACAATGAGAAGGGTAGGAGGGTCAGAGACACAGTCTAGTCAGGACCCACACCCTCAGCATGGTGACCAACAGCAGAAGGGATATCATAACTGTAGAGTCCCTCACTGAGAAATAAGAGATCTGCGTTCCACATCAGCCTCCATAGCCTGAGGGACCTATACCAGAAAGACAAGCACCCATAATGCCTGGCATTGAAAATAAGTGGGGCCTATGTCCGGGAGAGTCAGAGGGCAGTGGGAAATTGAGACTTCCCTCTTGAAGGACACACCAGTGCAGAGGCGTTAGTTTGAAAAGTACCTAGGTTAGAGGTGAAGGAGATCCAAGGAGACTAAGTTTAGGGTGTGTATGGAGGGGCAGGGATCTGTCTGAACCTTCTCCAGGGAAAGAAGCATTGGCAGGCCCCATTTTCTTTTTACTTCCCTTACATCTAGCTGGTCCGGTGCTGGCGGGTGCCATTTCTGACACTCTCCATCTACTGTGCTAGCACTACTTGCATAGACTCACCCCACCCAACCTGTCTACCCTGGCCTGGCACTCCTCCCTAGCAGCTCCCTACCCACCATACCTAGCAGGCATCTTTGGCCAGGACCAGCACACCCTCCACCCAAGGGCTCCTGCCCTGGAGGCCCAGTCCTACACACTAGAGTGTCTGCATCAGTCGCATCTGGACTTTGCAGCCAGCTGCACCAAAAGCCTGCCCTACTCAACAGTGCTCATGCAGCTCACAACCAGTCCTTATAGCCAGCTGTGCCAAGGGCCAACCCCACACACCAGCATGCCCACACCAGCTGCAACCAGGCCTGTCAGGCAGAGGGAGAAGCAGTCTCCCTGCTGAGATATGTGACCAAGAAGCAGTCTCCCTGCTGAGATATGTGACCAAGACACATTATAATCAGAGTGTCAAGAGTTAAGAGATAAAGAATCTTAAAAGCAGCAAAAGGAAAACAACTAGTTACATACCAAGGAACCATAAGTCTATAAGCTAGTTTTTCAGCAGAAACTTTATAGGTCAGAAGAGAACAGCATGATATATGCAAAGTGCTAAAACGAAAAAGACTCACAACCAAGATTACTCTACCCAGCAAGGTTATCACTCAGAAGTGAAGGAGAAACAAGGAGTTTCTCAGACAAGCATAAGGTAAAGGAGGTCATCAATACCAAACCAGCCTTACAAGAAATGTTTAGGGGACTTAATTTTAAGTAGAAAAGAAAAATCGTAACTACAAGTAAGAAAATTATGAAAGGAGTGGTGCTTGGCTGGCTCAGTTAGTGGAGCATACGACTCTTGCACTTGGGGTTGTGAGTTGGAGCTCCATGTTGGGTGTAGAGATTACTTATAATAAAATCATTTAAAAAAAAAGGAAAATTATGAAAGGAAAAACCTCACTGGTAAACGTAAACATATAGTAAAGGTAGTGGATCAACCACCTACGTAGCTAGTATGAAGGTAAAAAGACAAAAAGCAATAAAATCAGTTAGACCCACAATAATTAGTCAATGGAAACATAAAATAATAATATGTAAAATATGATGTCAAAAACATAAAACATGGTGGGGGGATGATGTAGTGCTTTTAGAATGTATCTGAACTTAAGTGGGCACTAACTTAAAATGGATTGTTATATACATAAAATGTTATATATGAACCTCATGGTAACCACTGACCAAATACCTATAATAGAAAAACAAAAAATAAAACAAACATAACACTAAGGAAAGTCACCAAATCTCAAGGGAAGAGAGCAAGAGAAGAACTACAAAAACAATCAGAAAGGGATGCCTGGGTGGCTCAGTTGGTTAAGTGTCTGCCTCCGGCTCAGGTCATGATCCCAGCATGGGATCAAGTCCCACATCTGGCTCCTTGCTCAGCAGGGAGACTGCTTCTCCCTCTGCTTACCACTCCCCCTGCTTGTGCACTCTCTCTCTCTCTGACAAATAAATAAAATCTTTAAAAAAAAAATCAACAAAATGGCAACAAGTCCATACCTATTAATACTTTTTTTAATCAATAATTACTTTATGGGCACCTGGGTGGCTCAGTCGTTAAGCGTCTGCTTCGGCTCAGGTCATGATCCTGGGGTCCTGGGATCGAGCCCCGCATCGGGCTCCCTGCTCGGCGGGAAGCCTGCTTCTCCCTCTCCCACTCCCCCTGCTTGTGTTCCCTCTCTCGCTGTCTCTCTCTGCCAAATAAATAAATAAAATCTTTAAAATAAATAAATAACCAACCAACCAACCCACCAACGGGTCAATGAAGAAATCAAAGAGGAAGTCAAAAATTACCCTGAGACAAATGAAAATGGAAGCACAACAGTACAAAATCTATGAAATGCAGCAAAAGAAGTTCTACAAGGGAAGTTTTATACAGGCCCAACTCAAGAACCAAGAAAAATCTCAAATAAACAATCTAATCTTACGCCTAAAGGAACTAGAAAAAGAACAAAGCCCAAAGTTAATAGAAGGAAGAAAATAATAAAGATCAGAGCAAAAAATAAATGAAAAAGAGACTAAAAAGACAACAGAAAAGATCAATGAAACGAAGAGTTGGTTCTTTGACAAGATAAAATTGATAAAAACCTTTAGCCAGATTCATCAAGAAAAACAGAGTGCCCATATAAATAAAATCAGAAATGAAAGGGGATAAGTTACACCCAATACTACAGAAATAGAAAAAAATCATAAGAGACTACTAAGAACAATTATGTGCCAACAAATGGAACAACTGAGAAGAAATAGATAAATCATCTAAATCAGGAAGATTACAATACAGACTGATTACTACTAATGAAATTGACTCAGTAATCAAAAAACTCCCAACAAAAGAAACTCCAGGACCAGATGGTTTCACAGGTAAATTCTACCAAATATTTAATGAATTAAGACCTATACTTCTTAAACAATTCCAAAAAATTGAAGAAAGAACAGACTCACTCTATGAGGCCAGCATTATCCTGATACCAAAACCAAAGACACCACAAATAAAAAAAAAAGTTACAAGCCAATATCCCTGATGTATGTAGATGCAAAAATCTGCAACAAAGTATTAGCAAACCAAATTTTATACTACATTAAAAAGATCATACACCATACTAAAGTTGAAATTACTCCAGAAATGCAAGGATAATTCAATATGCACAAATCAATGTGGATATACCACATTAACAAAATAAAGGATAAAAATCCTACGATCATCTCAATAGATGCAGAAACAGCATCTGACAAAAACTCAACATCCAAATAAGATACAAACTTTCAACAAAGTGAATATAGAGAAAACACACCTCAACTTAAGAAAGGCCAGATATGACGAACCCATAGCTAACATCACACTCAACAGTAAAAAGCTGAAAGCTTCACCCTAAGATCAGGAACAAGACAAGGATGCCCATTCTCACCACTTTGATTCAACATAATACTGAAGTCCTAGCCACAGACAAGAAAAATAAAAGGCACCCAAATTGGTAAAGAAGAAGTAAAACTGGGGCACCTGGGTGGCTCAGTTGGTTAAGCGACTGCCTTCAGCTCAGGTCATGATCCTGGAGTCCCAGGATGAAGTCCCAGGATCGAGTCCCGCATCTGGCTCCCTGCTCAGCAGGGAGTCTCCTTCTCCCTCTGACCCTCCCCCCTCTCATATGCTCTCTCTCATTCTCTCTCAAATAAATAAATAAAATCTTTAAAAAAAAAAAAAAGAAGTAAAACTGTCACTATTTGCCAATATATGTAAGAAAACCCTACTCTACCATCCATGTTGTTTGTCAATTGTACCTCAAAAAAAAATCCCTTTGTAAGGCTAACACCTGACACTCAATCTGCTATTAGGCTGAGGAAAAAACATTTCAAAATAATATAAATATATTTGTCTTAATACTGAACCCTTCTATGAATAGGAAATTAGCACCCCTATGAATTACAATTTAAGAAGAACAATGAAGGGGCGCCTGGGTGGCTCAGTCGGTTAAGCGGCTGCCTTCGGGTCAGGTCATGATCCCAGGGTCCTGGGATCGAGCCCTGAGTCGGGCTCCCTGCTCAGCAGGGAGCCTGCTTCTCCCTCTCCCTGCCGCTCTGCCTACTTGTGCTCTCCACCTCTCTGTCAAATAAATAAATAAAATCTTTAAAAATAAATTAAAAAAAGAACACTTAATATGTTAAAATCCACTAGCAACATGTTTTAATTATTAGGTATGTTCAATGTTTTTAAATTCTAAGGGGTAGAATAGCATAAATCACCAAAAAGAAGAAAAAACATGAGCTGTACTTAAAAGTTCTTCATTTAACAAAAATTTTGACAACTCTCTGGATTTAAACAAATGTTACATTTTTTAAAAGTATTTTTTAATCACTTACTCTGGTTCTGGATTCTTTGGAGAAAGTCCCCATACTTCAGGAGCTCCCAATTCTCCAATCCTCTCTCTCTCACTTAATCTCCTAGAAGATACAGGCATATAAATTATAATTCCATGGCTAAATTGTCTCCTAAATACATAATCAATTCAAAGGAGTCCATTTAAGTCCTATTTTCCTATTTTAAAAGTTAAATTAATAAATTAAGTATACTCATTATAATTTGATGTTCTTGATAGTACTATCAAATGGTACAGCCTACAGACAGCCTGAGGCCAGACCAGAAATACAGCCTCAAAGGCTATCAAGTCCATCTCTTCTGCCTCTTGCATGACATAGCTCCTAACTGCTCATTTCGTCTTCTACAATATGTGACACAAACAGTTTTATATTTGGAAATAACTTCTTTGTTTACACACATTTATGAGAGTAAAGAGCAGTCTCTACTTTTGATTTAGTCAAACCCGTTTTCAGAAACTTAGGAATTAATAAAGAAAATTAAAATGAAGCATTAGAAATAGAAAATAAAGAGAGCTCTGAAAATGAAAGAAAAGTTTTATTTGATAAAAACTGTCCTCAACGAGATACAGGGTTTTTTTTCTCCGTTTTCCCTTTAGTTTCTTTTTGGAAAAGGACTATATTCTCTATCTTCTCTTGCAGGACACGAAAAATTTATGTTTGTGATTTTTTTTTAATTTTGCTCACAAAATACAAAAAAACGAAGACTCAATTCCTCAAAGTTTAGCTGCTAGTGATTCCATTTGTTAAAAAAACACACACACACCAAACCCTTACAAAATAAGCTGGTTTGATTGCTTTAATATACTGTTTTTTACTTCTTTATTCAGGAGAAAAGGTATTATAATCATGCAGAATTAGACTCAGGTTTCCCACTTGAAGAAGTGCCTAAAAGGGTTATACTTTTAACCCAACTTGTAATATATATGCAGGGGGAAGTATGACAGGCTATAAGAACAGTCAAGTTCTCATCCCTGCTGCCCCCAGCTTCATCTGTACTCTTAAGATAAACTATTCATCTTCTAAATGTACAAATGCAAATTTCATCCAAGAAGTTCTGACATCTTTTGATGAGGATTGTCCAGTAGGAAGTTGGCTGCTTTTTGACTAACACAGCCAGGAGGTAACTCTGAAAAATTTAATTTGGAGAGGTAGGTCTCCAACCTAACTCCGTACTGTTTTTATGGTTTCTGCTTCCATTCAGGAAACCCTAGTAGCTAACACTCAAGGACTATTAATTCTGTTCCAGGAACTAATCATCACAACTCTAAAAGCCTTGGCGCCAATTTTATCCCCTTTTAAATGGTTAGAAATAGAGCTCAGAGAAGTTCAGAAACTTGCTCAAGGTCACACAACTATGAGGCTGCAAAGCATGGCTTCAAATTCAGGCATTCCGATTCTGGAGCCTTTCCTCTTCATTGCTATCCTTTATTACTTCCCATTCTTGGAAGAAAAAGATTTATGGAGACATCTCCCAGCTTTGGAATCTTAACCTGACCCTCAATGCCTGTGATACTCTTAAATTTCTTTTTTAACACAGAGCACATGTAGGGGCGCCTGGGTGGCTCAGTCGGTTAAGCGTCTGCCTTGGGCTGGGGTCATGATCCCAGGGGTCATGATCCCACATCGGGTTCCCTGCTCAGCCGGGAGCCTGCTTCTCCCTCTCCCTGCCGCTCCCCCTGCTTGTGCTCTGTCAAATAAATAAATAAAATCTTAAAAAAACACACCACAGAGGACATGTAAAGCACCTAGTACAGTGCCCGACAGAATTTAACACTCAATAAGCATTAGCTTTTAAGACTTACAGGACAATAATTATAACCCTTTTCCTTGATCCTTCTTAAACTATCCACTTTCCCACTCCAACACTCACTCATGAGAGGGCACCTGATCTCACCCCTGACCTCGTTTTTCACGGTCAAATTGAGACCATTTAACAAGACCTTTTTCAACGTAGCTTAATCAACAGTTTAGCAGGTCACTTTTCCCACATTCAATCATCTGGGCTCAGAGGGTTTTTTCCCCCTCGGATTTAAACTCTTCCTCTCCAGCCTTCCCGACATTTCCACCGTACACATCCTGTCACCTCAAACCTGACTGGTCATTCAGCAAGCAGCGGTGGTACGCCTACCAAGTGCTAGGCACTGCTAATCTTGTGATCAATAAAACAGGTGTCTTCTTTGCCACGAGCTCAATCGAGTGCGAAATGAAAGCACGCTTCCAAATAATAAAGACACGACCAAGCGAATACTGTAATTCGGGGAGGTCTGGGGCTCCCGACAGAACCGCTCCAAGCCAGGAGGCAGAAGTAGTAGCGGGGACACCGGAGCGCGGTACGAAGGGCCCCGAGGATGAGTGAAAACCCAAGGGAAGAAAGGGGCGGAAAAAGGCGTTCTGGGGGTCGGGAGGTGGGGTGGGACCAAAGGGATAGAAAGGGGCGCTCGGCAGAGAGCGAAAAGCGAAAAGTCAGACTCCCAAGTCGGGTGGGCTCCCGCGAGAGGTGTGCCCATCTCACTCACTTCTGCCGCAGGCTCTCCTCCCTCTCCTTGTCCAGAAGGCTAGGCCACGGCTTGTCGCTCCCGTAGGGGCGCGAGTAGCCGCCATAATACGCGGTCGAGGAGGCTGAAGCGAAGGGGTTGCCCCGCGGCGCAGAGGGCCGCTCCCGGGAGCGTGACCGCGAGCGGGATCGGTAGGACTGGTTTCGGGACCCCTGACTGAAGCCGCCCGGCTGATGGCTGAGACCATTCCGAGAGCAAGAATGCGAGCGAGAGCTAGAGCGCGAGCGACGGCCCCGCGGGGAGCGGGCGGATTTGCTGGGCTTAGGGCTTCTCGACGAACTGCGACGCTTCCCCCCGGAGCCCGAGGCCTCCCCATCAGGGCTGCGCGAACCCGACACCGGAGCCATTGCGGCCGCTGGGTCCCCTAAGCGACTAGAGAAGGGGGCGCTCTCGCGAGCCTCGGAAGATCTCAGTTGGTTCGGCTCCCAAACCCGCCGTAGCGCCACCGCCCGAACCTGAGGGAACCTTGGAAACAGTTCCGGGTACGTCGGCAAATCCCTTCCCCCGACCTAGGCGGTCCTGCCCACAGGACGGGGATCTGTGTATCGGTATAAAGAAGTCCGTGGGGCAACCGGATCCACTCATCCTTCCGGTCCCGAGTGAGGCTCCTCAAATCTAAACTGGACTAGAGGGCTTGTCCTTTCTTTAGCATCGAGTTGAAATACCTGAGGAGAAGGGCGATAGGTAACAGAGACATTTCACTGAGCGGCCGTGTGAATAACAAAGCCAATGTAACTTTACATAAATATATATGTTTGTGTGTATGTGGCTGTGTGTAGGAGTACACCCACACCCCCCCACAATTTTTTTTCCTTTTTTTTTTTTTAAAGATTTTTATTTATTGGGGCGCCTGGGTGGCCCAGTTGGTTAAGCGACTGCCTTCGGCTCAGGTCATGATCCTGGAGTCCTGGGATCGAGTCCCGCGTCGGGCTCCTTGCGCAGCAGGGAGTCTGCTTCTCCCTCTGACCCTCCCCTCTCATGCTCTCTCTATCCCATTCTCTCTCTCAAATAAATAAAGAAAATCTTTAAAAAAAAAAAAAAGATGTTTATTTATTTGAGAGAGCGCGCGAGAGCACGAGCGGGGGGTGGGGGCAGAGGGAGAGGGAGAAACAGGCCCTCCACTGAGCAAGGAGCCCGAAGCGGAGCTCGAACCCAGGACTCTGGGATCATGCCCTGAGCCGGAGGCAGTCGCTTAACCGAGCCACCCAGGCAGCCCCACAATTTCTTCTTTCTAATCCCAAACAAAATAAGGAGGGTTTATCGAAATTGGTGGTGAGCTATGATGGTCTAAGCCCCATTTTGCCCAGTTAGCTTAGAGGGCACAAATTTTTGTTAATAATTTGAGCCTGATATACTACAGTTAAGTTCACAGCCCAGAGAAAATTGCTTATTTATTCTCCAGAAATTCATCTCCACTAATATGCAGCAGCAAAAGGAATTTGTAACCCCCTTCTTGTCCAGCCCTTTAAACTAGTCCCCTCATATGCTAACTCAGCAATACATGGTTAATGGTTATCTATTCTATTCTATTCATTTTATACTGTTTTTAAATGAAAGAACATTCAAACACTAATTCTACAGACTTTAATTTTTGAAGGTACAGTGAGTTTGCCATGGAAATTCAGAATCCAGTCTACTAGTAGCTAGATGGCTTTTTGAGCCTTTCCTCCTAAGAAGTAACTTATCAGACCATGAAAACTCATGCCATCGATTATTGGAAACCTCCCTTTTTAGAACTTAAGGGAAAGATGCTAACAGAATGTAAATGGAAAAAGTGGACCGCACTATTGGATATCTTCTATGTAAAAACCGTTGATCATGGGATGAGGGCCAAGGACTGAATTGAGTAGGAGAAATTATATGATTTGGGATGCGGATTTGGAGAGGTTTCTTTTTTTTTTTTTTTTTTTTAAAGATTTTATTTATTTATTTGACAGAGAGACAGCTAGAGAGGGAACACAAGCAGGGGGAGTGGGAGAGGGAGAAGCAGGCTTCCCGCGGAGCAGGGAGCCCGATGCGGGGCTCGATCCCAGGACCCTGGAATCATGACCTGAGCCGAAGGCAGGCGCTTAACGACTGAGCCACCCAGGGGCCCCGTTGGAGAGGTTTCTAATAAGAAAGTTCTGGATGGGGGCACCTGGGTGGCTGAATCAGTTAAGCCTCTGCCTTCGGCTCAGATCATGATCCCAGGAACCTGCTTCTCCCTCTCCATTTGCCACTATCTCCACTTGTGCTCTCTCTCTCTCTGTCAAATAAATAAAATCTTAAAAAAAAGAAAAGAAAGTTTTGGATGGAAAACCTACACCTAACTTTTGCGACGCCAGGCTGTACACTTTCACATCTACTGCCTATAAAAGCCAACTTTGCAACAGCACTTGGTCTACCTGCCCAATGTCTGGTAGGCATGCACTTTAGTTCCAATGATAAAACCCATACCCCAGCACCTCTGGTTGGCACGATAATAAAAAATAATTTTAAAAAGTTAAAAAAAAGTTTAGTATAAAGTGTGAAGCCCTCTGGTGCTGGGCTTTTGCTCCTTGGGAGTTTTTTGACTACGGATTCAATTTGATTATTAGTAATCGACCTGTTCAGATTTTCTATTTATTCTTGATTCAGTCTTGGAAGATTGTATGTTTCTAGGAATCTATCCATTTCTTCCAGATTGTGCAATTTGTTGGCATATAATTTTTTGTAGCACTCTCTTACAATCCTTTGCGTTCCTGTGGTGTCACTGGTAACTTCTCTTTCATTTCTGATTTGATTCACCTGAGTCCCCTCTCTTTTTTTTCTTGATGAGTCTGGCTAAAGGTTTATCAATTTTATCTTTTCAAAGAACCAGCTCTTAATTTCACTACCTTTCTTATTGCTTTTTAAGTCTCTATTTCATTTATTTCTGCTCTGGTCTTTATTATTTCCTTCCTTCTACTCACTTTGGGCTTTGTTCTTCTAGTTCCTTTAGGTATAAGGTTAGATTGTTTATTTGAAGTTTTTCTTGTTTCTTGAGGTAGGCTTGCATTACTATAAACTTCCCTCTTAGAACTGCTTTTGCTGTGTTCCAAAGATATTTATTTATTTATTTATTTATTTACTTACTTACTTACTTATTTATTTTGACAGAGAGTGCAAACAGGGGGAGTGGCAGGCAGAGGCAAGGGGAGAAGCAGACTCCCCACTGAGCAGGGAGCCCGATGCGGGGTTCAATCCAAGACCCTGGGACCACGACCGGAGCCAAAGACAGACACTTAACTGACTGAGCCACCCTGGTGCCCCTTTATTTATTTTTTTTTCCCAGAGATTTTTAATGTTATATTTTCATTTTAATTTGTCTCAAAGTATTTTTTATTTCCTTTGACAATGCTTTTGTCCTAAAGAACGTTCCTACAGATTCCTGCCCCTTTAGCACATACCCTAAAATTAGTCAATAAATCTTCATGTAAGGCCCAGGTGCTTTTCAAACTATTGCCTATGTGCTGGGTCTGAGTTTACGCACAGGCCCTTTAGTAGTGGAGCCTCAGTTTTCTATAGCCCTCTGACTCCCCTAGAGTTATGCCCCTCTGATTTTCAAAGCCAGACATTATATGGGATCATCTTCCTGGTGTAGGTCTCCAGGGCAGAAGGTGCCTGATGTATGTATTTCATACATAACAAATGTTATGATTTGTTATGAGAATGAACATACGACTTATGTTTTTTCTTTCTTTCCATCTTTTCTATTGAAGAGAAATATAGAAAACATGCACTAGTACATTTTTCACTCAAATTCAAAGAATTTATTGATGTGAATTGAATATTTAATTCACTGAATTTCATTACAGCCACTTGTCAGTTGTGTGATCTTGGGCATGGTATTTAACTTCTGTCTCTGCTAGTTTCCCCGTCTGCAGAAAAGGTTCAGGGTAATTGGTGCATGTTGCTTAGCTCGGTACTGCTTCACAGTAAGCCCTCAGAAAATTGT